GCATTTTCTTAGTATAGTACAGGAGCCTCCTAAATAAAAAAAAATATAGATTGTTGTATTCAGATATACAGTTCATTGGTTATCTTGCATGCATCCTTATCATACAATCTATCTACACTTATTTAGCCTGCCTTATAATACTGTTACCGCATTGTGGTAACTACGAGGAAATCACAGTGCAGTGTTATACAGTATATTTGGGAAAATTATATTGTTCTCTTTGTATCCAAGCTGCTTCTCCTCTTTTGTTATATCTCCAGAGCAAACAGTGTCAACCCTGTTTATGTGTATTATTAACTCACATGGTTTTGGGGCAAAACTTTGTAAAAACTCTCAATAAAAATATGTAATACAAAAATTCAGACTGGTTGCCATGAGCTGCAGCACTCTGCATCTTTTTATTATGCTTCCTAATTTTTTCATAAGGCAGCTATGTACCACCAGTGGAGAATGCCCCTCTCTTTGGTTACCACTGCTTTAAACAAAACACTACTGAGATCATTTATCAGCTACTTGTATGCTTTGGGTTCCAAGTACTCTAGATAAAAAAACTTTGTATACCACTTTCAAGTATGTACATAAAAGCTGCCTGGACAGTCGGTTTTACCTGGCTTGGATGACCATTTCAAGCCTATAGGTGCCCACAGACAATGCACATTTTTTTCAAAGGAAATAACAAATGGATGGGTTAAAAATTCTTGTCCATTCGCCATGATAACATTTTGTAGGGAACATCTGAGTGCGCCCCTCTCTACACATAAATACTTACCTGGGCATTCTTTGTTTATGAAACTGCTATACTGTATGACAGGTTTCTGAGGGTTGCCTGATCATGTCTGCATATTAGATGGCCTGTAAAGTCTATCAGCACCTTTAGACTGGATTTAATTTGTCTGGATATGTAAGGATAGATTAACATGTAAGTAAGTCTATACGTGACATACCCTATACACACAAAATCTACACAAACGACAAATTGTTATTGTAGAGTTTTTATTTTTACACATATATAAAAGTATTGTTACAGAGTAATGAACATTTATCTCTTAAATATAAAAGTGCTTCTGAATATAATAATTAAGGCCCATTTTGTTATATTACTATTCTAGAAAGTGTGCTACATTGGGTACTGAGAAAACACTGAAGCACTAGGCAACACTTTATTCCTCTTTTCATCAGCATTGTGGACCCTTGTATTTTATATTGCACTGTTTTTATTAGTACTCATGTACAGTGCACATAGAGGGCATTTCCAACAGTGCCATTAACATAAAATAATATAATGTCTATGACAAAGTCTATGAAAGACAGATGAAAGTGATGCAAGTTTCTTAATATAAATATAGTGTTGTCTTACACTTAAAGCTCCTGCACATACATATTTAGTTTTACTTAAAATATGCACAAATATATGGCACAACTGAGTATACTACTCAGGAAAGGATCGTAAATTCATGATGATTTGCCTATAATGGAAAAAGATGAGAAATAATAAATCCATATAAGGTTGTTTATAGAAGCAAATTATATAACAGCTCAATGTGTTATTGTAAGAAGAGTAAATCACAGCAGCAGATAAGGTCCAGAACAAATTTAACTTAAAAAGTAACTCCAATGTAAAAATATAAAAATTAAATAATCTAAAAAAAATATAGCATATATAATTGTCGCAGAAGCCATTTTGTAATTTCATTTTATTAAAAATGACCTTACCTTTTAAAAGTGCAGCCGCTGAATTTGACAAAATAAATAAATAAATTCAATGCACTATGGTGACCTTGAGGTGTTCCGTACACAGTTGGTGTAAATGCCCCCCAGAAATGTCACTTACTGCTTCTGTGATTGGCTGACTGATTTTGACAGAAGTCTGAACTAAGATACAAGTATAATTTTTAGCATCCTTTGCAATAGGAATTTCATTTTTGGTGAGATGCTCCCTAAAGATAAATACTACTAAAGGGGCACTGCGCCTTTCCCTGTTACATCACAGGAAGCCCACCGACTGGTTAATATGAACCCAGATCCTCCCATACAGGGATCAGTTTGAAAAGGACATGCTGCAACAGCTTTTTCTTCAGAACAGGTAGCAATCTGCAACAAAGTTTGTTAAAAATCCCTGTAATGTACACAGATAACCCAGAGGGGATTCATTTTTTTTTCAAAAAAAGTGGAGTTAATCTTTAAAGTGTATGCAAACCCAAAATCTATTTTTCAGTTTATTTGACATCATGTTTCACTGTATACAGGTTTCTTAAGCAAGAGCATTTTTTATGAATCTATTACAGAGTTTCTTGGAGATCCTGTCAGTAATATAACATCCTGTTGAAAGCTTGCGGTACTAAGCTGTCCCTGTTACATGCTGTGACAGAAGGACAAGGAATGAGGGTGGTGGTTGTCACAAGGACAGGAAGAAGCTTATAGTTATAATAAGCTGACAGAGCTTCTAATTCTTGCCCACTATACTGAAAAAAATTGTTTTATAGGAGTTCCCCCTGGAGAGATGTCCTTTCACTTCCTGTCCTGACAGAATGTGAGTGAAAATCTCCCCAGTGGAGTGACAGAACACGGTAAAAATCTGACAGGAGTTTGATCCCACCCCTCTCTGCCCCAAACTAAAAAAGGTTTTGGCTGGAGTTCAGCTGTAACTAAGTGTCATCAGGATCCTGAGTTACAACCAGGATCCTTACTAAGAACCTTATCCTTAGGTTAAGAACATGCTTTGGAATCTTTCAAGAACCGACCAGTGTATAGATTCTCTGTGTGCTTCATTTCTTTCCCTTTTCTATAGCGGGAAAGAAACGATCAGTAGCTGATATTTTTTAATGTCTCATAAATACTCCACAAGCTCTAATAATGATATTTTAATGCTCACAACTGATCTTTATACCTCTGCATTTAGCTCTCACATGGATCAATTTTTACAATAAATTCTCAATCAACTCTTTTGCATCACTGGCAGATATCAGCAAATGTATGGTACACACTTACCTAAAATTAAAGGAGAACTATGAGATGAGTGCTTTTCACTCACCTCATAGTTCTAGCCGACCTGTGACAATGAGACTGTCACAGGTCGGCTCAGTAGATCGGGAGGTGAGCGAACACATACCGGGTTCGCTCGCCTCTCGATCCTGTCACGGCTCTCTGCCGTGACAGGGGGAGGGGCTGGATTCCCCTCTCCCCGCTCCGATCTGCCAGCGCTGACTGGCGGAACGGACGGGGGAGCGGCGGGTACAGCTGGCTCTGCCTCTAGATAGAGCCAGCCAACTCATGCAGCTGGGCGGATCCCGTCATCTAAGTCGTGATCCGCTCCGGCTGCGGGGTCTCAGTATACCGCGAGCTGTAGCTCGCGGTATACTGAGCTTAGGGTAACGGGAGGACGCTAGTTTGTGACCTCCCGTTACCCTAAGGAGAACTATGGGGAAAAACACTGACCCCATAGTTCTCCTTTAAATGCAATGAGAGTGACAACCGGAGTGGAAAGACTTAAGCTGGCCATACGCTGTAATAATTTGTTCGTTCAACCTGCGGGCTGAACGAAGAAAATATTACAGATTCTTCTATCAATGCTTACGAGCGTTGATCAAAGAATCCCCCACTGTCTTCACTGTATACTGACAGCGGCTGCTGGCAGAATTCCTGCAGAGAAACAGAGCCGGAAGCTGTTCAAAGATTTTCTGACCGTGTCCTTCAATTCAGCTGATCGAGGGATGCTGGCTGAAAGGGTGCTGACAGCAGCACCCACTGTATGAATTTTGGCTGGTTCATCAAGAACTGGCCAAAATGTAAGTAATGTAAGGGCAGCGTTAGACTTCACTGGTTGAGATCTCGAAGTAATGAACCAATGTTTTCACCTAACACTGGAGACTTTATAAGGTTTAAAACTCGCTCATCATTTTTATCACAGAAAATAATTAAGATAAAAATATGCCAGTAAGACTTATTTTGCTGATCACTACACTAATTTCTAAATATGTTTTGCCTTTTTTTCCTGGATCCATTATTTTCAACACAGGGAAGCCAAAGAAGAAACTTTCCTCAAGGTGGTCTGATTGTTATGTTCAACAAGTCCTCTGTTTTTTCATCACTCTTTGATCTTGACGTTTTTGGTAACATATGCTTTCTACAATGTATGTGCAAGCTAGACAAATAAGAGAGGTTCCAAAGGTCTGATAAAGCCCTTGCTTATGACACCGTTGATGACAAGCAGCCTTGAAGCCAACTGCTTACACTGCACCTCAGACAGCGTAAAAATAAAGATGACATCATGAAAGCTAATTGATCTAAACCAAAAAAGTATACTGTGTATTGCAACATGCCACTACCTAGATGTGATGTCTGCTTTAGATTCATTTTTTCAAGCTTTTCCCTTTATTTGCATCTAGTAATGCTGCAAGTAGCACACTTGTTGTCCCTTCGTGGGTATACTCACTACTCCCCTGTAACTATGGAGGCAGCCATTGTTGTCACACAGGCTGGACTTCAAACGTCTCTGCATTAGTTGATCTTTATTACATGGAGGATTCATGGAACTGGTAGTTTACACAATAAGATACGTTTTTATTTTGTGCTTTCAGTTTGCCTCACAGCAAGTGACAACGACACTGCATTTCTGACAAAGTTACCCAATTTTTTTCTACTTACTGAAAGTCTGAAAAAAAAAAAAATGAATGCAGCCACGACATCTAAGGACTGGTAAACTGCAATATATTACATTTTGATTTTGGGATTAGATACACTTTAACAATTGGTGGCCGGCTTTTACCACATTCTACAGATAAGAAAGAAAAAGACAATAACTTAATTCTACCTGGAATTGAAAAGTGAATGTGTGTCACATTATTATTGCCCTGAATTTCCAGCAAACCAGTTAAAAAAAAGGGTGCACAAAGCATATGATGTAATGCATTTACAATATGCACAGGTTTGCTTATTTGCTGCATGAATTTAATTTAAAGTAATAGCTCGGCATCACGATGACAACAAGAGTTCATTGACTTGACCAATGCTGAAGAAAGATAACGGATATTTGAACAAGTGCTGCCAGTGATAGAATAGCGCTCAGTGCCTGGAATTTTAGCAGTTCAGTGGAAATAAAAACAAATGGCCAGAAGTTGCTACAATACATGATGTGAACTCTGTCTTATCCAGGAAAGTCCTTGTCGAGTGTATTGAACCAAATGCTCCATTGAACTGTGCAGTGTGATTGGTCCTATTAATGCATCCAGCTCCTTAAAGAATTCTGTTACAAGAAGAGACATAAATGGCTTGTTTAGAAATCAAAAAGTAAAAACAGAAAAAATCTTGCAGCTTTATTCACAAGTAGGGGCTTTACATAGGAGTTGTACTACACTGAGACAATAAATGTAACAATATTGACACCGTCTTTCAAGTAATGCTAAGATTGATCCCATATAAAATAATGATACAAGTAGTGTTTTGGAAACATTTTCCTGTACAGTCTTTTACACAACCAGAATTAGATGCATTGATACATCCTTTCAGATACTCTAATAGGTAATTTATTGAGGGGAGAGGTAATTTGGAAAACTAAAACTTACACTTAATCCCCTTTGCAGAATACTAAAAGTGTATTATGTTATGGGTAAAGGTAGTTTTTTTAAAACTGTTTTGGATAGAATGGGGAAGGGTTAAACCAATGGTGTTTGCCATTCGAGGAGTGCTGTCTAGTGGAGGGCCCTACCCGCCATGGACTGTCGGTATCGTACCAACTGCTCTATGACCCACCGGTCTCTCCCAGCCGGTGTATATTTCAAAATGGGAGAAGGATCTGGGAACAACTTTCACCCCACACCAAGTTGATAGGATCTTCCAGATGACACATAAAGCATCTATCTCCAGCAATATCCAAGAAACGGGTTTTAAAATCCTATCCAGATGGTATAGAGTCCCTACAACCCTCCATAAGATGTTCCCACAGTGCTCACCACTCTGTTGGCGTTGTCAGACGCAGGAAGGGTCACTGTTGCACGTATTTTGGTCGTGCCCTAAGCTCAGGGACTTCTGGGGTAAGGTAGCGGAGATGTGCCATGCGTTAACAGGGGTTATTTGGGGTTCGATCCGGCTGAATACCTCCTGCATCTAGCTCCAATGCCACTTCGCAGATACAGGAGGTCCCTCCTAGTGCACTTACTCAGTGCGGCGAAAATGTGCATACCACTGTACTGCAAGCGCACATCTGCACCTCCGATCTCACTGTGGTTGGCGAAGGTGGGGGAGATCTACAGGATGGAGGATCTCTTAGCCTCTGCCAGTCACAGGGCTACTCAGTTCAACCGCACCTGGTTCTACTGGACAGCATTCACTACATCTCCTGAATATGCAACCCTACTAGGGGGTGTGTGATGATCAAGACACTCATTACATCATTCCTAACTCTAAGTATAGACATACTATGGGCCTAGTGCTCACAGATCTGTATATGGTATGCAGGGGCAAACTTCGCCAGTTAACGTTGACAGGATGTGAGATTACCGGTGCTGAATACGGACCCCATGTTAGCCGACTATTCCTTGCGTATTTTTCTGAAATGCCTTATGTATGATCTGTACGATTCTTATCTGTATTTTTTGTACTGATTGTCTTTCTACCACTTGGAAAAAATCATAAATAAATAATTTATTTAAAAAAAAAAACAGTGGTGTTCTTACTTAAAATAGGTGCCTCAAGTGCAGCCTCTGACATTAAGAAACAGCCACACAGTATATTCATTAAATGTAATGCTATAGAAAGCATGTGGTTAGGAAGCAATCACTATCCCTGGACTCATCGATTGTGCATCCAGGGAGAGTGTTTTCTAACCGCATGTAATAATATCAAATACCATTACATGCGGTGCCAGGCATTCACATGCAGTCAAAACGCCTGTTTAACGCCGGGTTTAAAAAAACATGAATTCAAGGGAAGTAGATAGAAGAAAAAATGTAATCTTGTAAAATAAAAAGCAGTGACCAACCTGTGTTGTCTTTGGCGAGGTTATCAGCAATTTCCCAATAATCATAGCTGTGCAGTATACTGTTAGTAATACTGACATGATTTGCTGCCATCTGGTGGATACGCTGAGGGATGCTGATAATAGAAGTACTTGTAGAGTTGCTTACGACAGAGTTCACCAGAGGACTGGGAGATATGGGTAATGAAGCAATTGTGGTCCTGAATAAAACATAAAAAAAGATTATCTATTAATTTGCCAGCTATTTATGTATTTCACAATTTAAATACAAAATATGCATGTACTGATTAATATTTGTAACTAATGCTTATAAATTCACCGGTCTAGCAGCCAGGTGGGATCAAGGATCAGGTGAGTATATTTTTGTTTATCCAGCCCCTAGGCCAAAATGTGCACTTAACCCTTGCAGTGTGGGGTTAGCCCCACTGCAAGGGTTAACTTTTGTATATGTCTGGAGTTCTTCTTTAGTGTGCAAAGTGCAGGAATTGAAAACATCCAATCAGAAATATGTCTTACATCTTACTTTTTGATGCAAGTTAAGTGGAATCTGATTGTTTGCTATTGGCTACACATTATCCTACTAAATAAACCTGAGATAATTAATAATATTGATACAAAGAGCAGTGTCCATAGCTTAGTAACCCATAGCAACAAACAATCAACTTTTTATGAGCACCAAGCTACTCCAGGCAACTCCGAACTGTCTTAGTAAATAATTAATTTTGCTTTATTAGCTCCTTTCAATACAATTTGTATAGGATCACTTTCCATTGTGTACAGTAATAAACCCCTGAATGCAAATGTTAAACTATAGGCCATAAGGGTAAGACGGTACCTATATATTCTGATAACTTGACAGTGTTGTTGACCTTGACTTGAGGTGCAAGTCTGCAAGCCTCCAAGAGTCCATTTTGGAAGTTCCAAAAGTTGAGCTTCACTTTGATGAGATGCTTTTTCCTTGCTCACTCATGGCAAAGTGATATGGTCTGTGTAAAATGACCCCCTCCCTGACCCACTCGTATTCATCTCTTCTGCGCTCCCCCAACGCTCTTTGGACAGCTTGGACATGCATTGCAACATATGCGACCCATGAATCCCTGTTTTTATGCAAATGTTTGCATAAAGTATATAAAGGTCTACAGCAGTTTGTACTGTGTTACTTGAGAATTTGTATTTGGTAACATGTGGTCACACCTCACCAGAAACGTGTATGTTTTATATACAGTATATATTTGGCTTATAAAGCTTTTATTTTTCTACTGCAGAGTACAGGTCGGCGAGTCAGTAAGCTTTCCTCCAACTGTGTCGAGTAGGGACTGACCATAGAGGCATCACTTTGACCCATGGTACATGTATTGCAGTATATGTGAACCAAGAATCCCTGTTTTTAAGCATAAGTACATAAGGGTGAATAGCATTGTGTAGAGGATTAATTCAAAATTCTGTGTGTTAACTAATAATTATTATATCTCTGTGAGTGAATCTTCATTTGGTTGAAACATTTTCTCTCTACTGTATGCTGATTTTGAATTTCAGAGGAAAATTTTCCAAGCTCTAATCTGGTCACTTACTTTTCCTTGGCGTTCCCTGGTGATGATATTCGAGACGTTTTAGATGAATTCTAAAAAAAAAAGCACACATATGTACATAACTGATACCAATAGAATGACATAGTGTAGAGGGAAGAGTCAAAACCTAGGTCCACTGAAATGGACCTTTAAGCGAAAACTGCAAGAAGAATTCAATTTCACCTCTTAATAAATATTCTCATAAATGTACCAAATTTTACTTTCACCCCTAGTATAAGAAGGGCAAGCTCAGGAGCATTCAACAGATAATGTTCTCTTTTATATTTGTTTTCCTAAAACTGAGATCGACCATTTCTCTGGCACACAGCTAGCAAATTTTCCAGCTTGCACAAACTCCTGATAAAGTTTAAATGATGAGCTAGTTTAAAGAGTCATCCCACCCAAAACTGATCATTTACAGGGTTATTTACTAAAAGGTAAAGAGTTTGGAGAAGGCAGGAGAAGTGAACAATATAGGACAACATAGCTGAACTGGAAAGTGAGCTGAATTAGAGAATTTTTCCAGTTCAGCTATGTTCTCCTAAATTGTTCACTTCTCCTGACTTCTCCAAACTCTTCACCCATTTTTGTAGAAGCTTGGGAGTTAAACTTCCTGTGATTTCTTATATCTTTCAGGGACTCTTTTGGTGCATACGAGTTCCTGGTTCTAAACACCTGTTTGTGGCCATTATACAGAGTTCCCTGACTTACTTTTATCTATTTTATAATAAAAGAATGTAATGAGGTCCTAAAAAGCATACAAGTGTGTGGAAACATTCAAACCTCCCAAATGCAGAGAAGCAGAGTCAGGAATTTTGGCTGGGAGATCCCACTGTTGTGGAATATCCATGACATATAAGAAAGCAGGGAGTAACTCAATACAGCTGTCTTTACCTGTTACTAAAAATATGACTTTTAGGTGGTCGGCTCATTAAACTTACATTTCAGCATTACATTTCAAATATAGCAATGATGTGCATTTAAAGCTGAACTCCCGGAAAATAGATAATACAAAGATTAAGGGGTCTATTCACAAAGCTGCCGAAGGATCTAGCCGTAGCTTCGGCTGATCCTTCGGCTAGCTTCGGCCCCAGGACCCCTTTGGTTCAGTAGAACCGAAGGGCTGCTGTACGAGCTATTCACTATAGCCCGTACAGCTCGCAAAGTTGAGCCGAGGTGAAAGCCGAAGCTGGCCGACAGCCTGCTACTGACAGAGACAGATCAGCGTCCCCTGGATACCAGGTAACCAGGGGATGCTGATCTGTCATTACTCTCCCGGATGCTTCGGGAGTCTCCCACTATTAGATAGCGGCTCCCGGTCGCCCGGGAGAGAAACACTTTCTCCCGGAGAGGTTTACTCTAAACCTTTCCCTGCTCTGTTTTTTTTTTTGCTTCTGACATCAGAGCCGCCGGCCGCCGTCAGACAGAAAAAAAAACAGCATAGGAATGCATAGCTACATTCCTATTGGCTATTTCACTTTGCAATAGCCAATAGCAAACTAGCTACAGCACCTGCCCACTGCTGCTGTCAATCAGCAGAGGGGACCTGAAGTTCTCCATCAGGTCCTCTTCTAGTGATTGACAGCAGCAGTGGGCGGGTGCAATAGCCAGCTTGCTATTGGATATTACAAATTGAAATAGCCAATAGAAATCTAGCTATGCATTCCTATGCTGATTTTTTTTTTTATTCTGACTGCAGCAGCTGTCAGAATACAAAAAGAAAACATCTTACAGATAGCAAAGATGCTATTGCTTCCTCTGCTTTCTGCCATCATTTCAGGGGGGTGCTCTCTCCTCCCCGCATTACAATGAGAGCTTAGCAGAGCCGTAGGTGATATCAAAGCTGACTCTGCTGAGCTCTCATGATACTGACAGTTCAGCATCCCCTGGTTACTTGGTAACCAGGGGACGCTGATCTATCAGTACCATGAGAGCTCAGCAGAGCCGGCTTTGATACCACCGCCGGCTCCAACAAGCTCCCATTGTAATGACAGCTGGTCCCGGCCAATAGAAAACAGTTGGGCGGAGCTAGGGTTCACTGCTAGCTCCGCCCAATCGTTTTCTTTTTTTTCCTACTTTTTTAACTGTTTTTCTATTCTGCTCGGTACCACAGAGGTAGCCAAGTAGCATTCGGCTATTTACTCAAGGGGCGGGTGAAATAGCCAGCTTGCTATTGGATATTACAAATTGAAATAGCCAATAGAAATCTAGCTATGCATTCCTATGCTGATTTTTTTTTTTATTCTGACTGCAGCAGCTGTCAGAATACAAAAAGAAAACATCTTACAGATAGCAAAGATGCTATTGCTTCCTCTGCTTTCTGCCATCATTTCAGGGGGGTGCTCTCTCCTCCCCGCATTACAATGAGAGCTTAGCAGAGCCGTAGGTGATATCAAAGCTGACTCTGCTGAGCTCTCATGATACTGACAGTTCAGCATCCCCTGGTTACTTGGTAACCAGGGGACGCTGATCTATCAGTACCATGAGAGCTCAGCAGAGCCGGCTTTGATACCACCGCCGGCTCCAACAAGCTCCCATTGTAATGACAGCTGGTCCCGGCCAATAGAAAACAGTTGGGCGGAGCTAGGGTTCACTGCTAGCTCCGCCCAATCGTTTTCTTTTTTTTCCTACTTTTTTAACTGTTTTTCTATTCTGCTCGGTACCACAGAGGTAGCCAAGTAGCATTCGGCTATTTACTCACTGCTGTTCGGCATCTATGAGAATAGGCCGAACAGCGGCGAGTAGCCTGCCGGAGGTTCGGCTTAGCCGATCCAGATGTTGGATCAGCTAAGTCGAACTCCTTCTGCACTTCGGGTCGGCCGAAC